TACAAATTTTTAAAGAGGCTTGCAAAGATCTAGAGTATTATTTGATGAAATGTAAACTTCCTTGAAGATGATTATTGGTCATCCTATAATCAACCCTTCATTTCGTTGCTTTTCTTATACGCTTGATTGTTATTTTTTCTTATATTTAGCTTTAAATAGTGAGCAATTTTACCATCATTTGCAAAATAATGATAAAAAACCATTTGACACCCTATGTTGTTGTAGCCAATGACTCTAATTGTAGATTTTCCAATATGCTTTTGAAGTCCTTTTTAGGAAAAGGGAGGTTAATTACACCTCGGAATCAATAATAGAGAGAGGTAGAGATAGGCTGATGCTATTACTTTTTCTTGGATATAAGTGGTTATGATTATATGAAATAGAAAGATAATAAAATAGGAGTGGGGCTAATTACAAATGAATTGAATTATATTCAATTGATTTATGAGCCTAATTACAAGTTATATCTATAGCCATATAATTTCCTTATAAAGTAATAAACAGTAAAATTTAAATCTAGCTAAAAATAATTCCCTTATAAAGTAGTAAATATTAAACTTCAAATCTAAGTTAAAAATTGGAAAGATAATTTAAACACTATCTATTTAGGTGAATTATTCGATAAGCTAAATACTTATGTAAATGCTAATCACATTTATTGAAAAAAATACCAAAGAGAATATTCCTAGGATTTATTCACTCATTGGGTTTATGTGGCTAGCACCCTTAATGAAGATTGAGATTTTTATTTTTAAGATCATATTAGTAAAACTAAAGTTGAAGAGACTTTAAAGAAAATTAAGTGTTAAAAAACAGTGAGATCTGATAATATTTCAATATAAGTGAGAAAATCTTAACAGATGAAGGAATTTCTCGGCTCAGTAAAATTTTTCATGTTATTTTGAAGACTGAAATGATGGAAGATGAGTGTAGGAGTGTCTTGATCTCTACTTTTTAAAATAAAAGTTATGCTCAAGAGTGTGAATTATAGAGGAATTAAATTAATTTGTCATACATTAAAACTATGGGAGAGAATAATTGAGCATAGGTCATGACGCGATACTAATGTTTCTCTAAACTAGTTTGGATTCATGCTAGGTAGGTCTACTATTGTAGCTATACATTTGTTGAGAGGTTTGATGGAGAAGTATTTAGAGTAAGGAGGATCTACATATGATATTTATTGATTTAGAAAAAGCAAATGATAAAATTTCAAAAGAAGTGTTTTGGAGAGTTCTTAAAAGAAAGAAATTTATAATACTTATATTCATGTCATTAAAGATACATATATACGTACAGGAGCTGCTACTTTTGTTCAAACATATTGTTGTTTGATCAATTTTTTTTATTTCAATTACATTACATCAAGGATAGCTTTAAGCTCATATCTTTTTGTTTTAGCCATGTATGTATGTTCTTACTATAAATTTGCAAGAGGATGTACCCTATTGTATGCTTTTGATGATGATATTCTTCTTGTTGATAAAACTAGAGAGAGAGAGAGAGTTGAAGAAAAAACTTGAATTATGAAGGGTAATTTTAGAGTAGGTTTTCGTTTCAGTAGATCTAAAACCGAATACATGGAGTGTAATTTTAGTAGTAATAAATCTAGTGGAAGGATTGTTATATTGTGTGATCAAGTCATTAAAAAACTTGTACATTTTAGATATCTCAGATCTATTGTTGAAAGAAATGGTGAAATAGATGGGAATATTATTAGTAGAATTCAAATTGGATGGTCGGATGGAGGAATACATCAGGCCTGCTGTCTGATAGAAAAATACCCCTCAAACTTAAGAAAAATTTTATGAGATGGTATTGAGACCTACAATGCTTTATGGTGCAAAATATTGACCATTAAAAGAGAAGTATAATTAAGTGTTATAGAGATGAGGATGCTCATGTGGATGAGTGGCTTTATACTTAGAGACATAATGTAAAATGAGTATATACGTGAAATGGTTGGAGTATATATCTAGTGGGAGATAAGATTAGAGAGAGTCGTTTTAAATGGTTGGTCACATAAAACGTTGGCATTTTGATGACCTAGTTAGGTGACTAGATGAAGTAGATCCGGCCTACATTAAGAAAGATAGAGTTAGATATAGAAAGACTTGGTTAGAAAGCATTAGAAATGACTTTTTCTATTAGATTGATATGAGAATTTGACTCAAATAGGACATAATAAAGAAAAAAGATTTCACATAGCCAACCCACATTGTGGGATAAGGGTTGGATGTTGTTGTTGGGTTGAGAGAGAGAGAGAGAGAGAGAGAGAGAGAGAGAGAGAGGAGAGAGAGAGAGAGAGAGAAGAGAGGAGAGAGAGCAGAGAAGAGAGAGAGAAGAGAGAGAGAGAAGAGAGAGAGAGAGAGAGAAAGAGAGAGAGAGAGAGAGAAGAAGAGAGAGAGGAGAGAGGAGAGAGGAGAGAAGAGAGAGAGAGAGAGAAGAGAGGAGGAGACGAGAAGAGAGAGAGATGGAGAGAGAGAGAGAGAGAGCGAGAGTAGAAGGAGAGAGAGTAGAGATGAGAGAGAGAGAAGAGAAGAGAGAGAGAGGAGAGAGAGGAGGAGAGAGAGAGGAGAGAGAGAGAGAGAGAGAGAGAGAGAGAGAAGAGAAGAGAAGAAGAGAGAGAGAGAGAGAGAGAGAGAGAGGAGAGAGAGAGAAGTCGAGAAGAGAGATGAGGAGAGAGAGAGAGAGGGAGAGAGAAAGAGAGAAGAGAGAAGAGAGAGAGAGAAGAGAGAGAGGAGAGAGAGAGAGAGAGAAGGAGAGAGAGAGAGAGAGAGAGAGAGAGAGAGAGAGAACGAGAAGGCAAGAGAGACCATTTCGATTTTCCTTCATTTTACTTTTGTTGAATCCTTCTTAATTTTGGCTTCATTTTATGGTAATTGATTTCTCATATCTAAAAACTCCCTAAATGGTGGCCATAAGTTCTATTCTATAGCTTTGAATTTGGATCCAATTTTTGACTTTAAAATTAAAATAGCCTCATAAATATTTGACCTGTGATTTTTGGATAGGAAATTACAGTCTAAAGTTTTTATTTTGGATTTCATTTAACATGAAACTAATATCTCACCTTGGACTAGGGTCTCCTTAGGTATTTTATTATATATGCATTGCTAAAATTGCACAATTGAGACCTTCTCCAGCACAATTCATTGAAAAACACCTCAAGGCTTATGCCTCGAGCTTTTTTTATGAGGCTTCTTTCCTTAGCCTTGACGAGGCCCGACTTGCCTCATTGGCGTGAGGCTTACAATATCATTAGATAAATTATATATATATAATATATATTAAAAATTTACGTAAAATCTTAAAAAAAAAGAAAAGTCTTCTTGCACCCCTAGGCCATAAAAACTTCCTCTTAATTGTCTCGACCTCTAATTCGTCGCCTTTGTCGTAGCCTCCACAATCATAGCCGTTGGGGATTACTTAAAAGCCACACACCACCATAAACTCCTCTAAAAATTTTGTAGTATTATTCTCATTTTTATATTGATGACAAATATTTTATGAAAGTGGAAGATAACTGAAATAAATGACAAAGAGCCAGATTGAGAGATATTGGACTCCACAAGATGAGGCAGGGGAGAGACCAATTTGTTATGACAATGACTCAGATAAACCTCATTAGTGATGACAGTGCAGATGATTTTTGAGTTTTTATCAATTATTTCAGCTTTCTTTGATAATTAAATATAGATGAGTAGGATATTGAGAAAGAAGGAATTTGGAGTTTAACTTAATGTTATATGATAATTTTATGCAATTCCTATATTTTATGTTGTTTTGCTCTTGTAATATTTGGATTTCAATTTTATTTTACATAATTTATCACTTGTCACTTTACATCTTGTGTTATTTTTTGTTTGATATGCATGTCAATTTGTTATTTGATAGTTCAATAGAAAGTTAACATGTTATCTTTTAATATATTATTTGAGTGTTATATGAAAAGCTATTTTTAACTTTTATCATCATTTTACGTATTTTTTAATTTTAAGGCTTATGTCTCAAAAAGCCTTAAGGCTTACTTCTCGTCTTACGAACGAAAAATGACTCAATACCCAATTGCGCAATTTTAAACCTCGGTATAGAGTCTACTGGTCTTGATTTGGCATGGTTAATCTCCAGAGCTTTTCACAACCCTCCTTTTAAGTTCACTTGCTGTAGCAAATGTCCATTAATTAGCAAACTTCTAATATTTGTAGTTGGACCTCATAGAATACAGTCAACCCAACGGACGTTGGAGCCGACCAATGTTATCAAACCATTTGATATATCCAACCCAAGTTTTAGTAATCATCTTTGTTATTGTAGATGATCTATTGGTAGTAGCAGTCACTTCTAATTATGAAATTAGCCCGAGTTTCTAGACCAGCCACCTTATGGTAGGATATACTAAAGTTTGTTGGTAAGGGGACTGTTCTCTATATCTCTGGTGGAATTATGCTTCCCTTGAACCTTTTGGCGACTCCATCTGGTTGCCAATCTCAGTCCTAGGCTTTGATACCTTGTATGTTTGAAGAATAATATATTTTCTTGATACTTGATCAAAGACAGATATAATATTTATAGAATACTTGGTATACTATAACATTTAAGTCTATGATAACTTGCCAATAACAACTTGCTAAAATAAGATGCAAATTTAAATATCAAATAATAGGATCTTCCAATTAATTATGACGGTCATTTCTTTTGGAGAAATTGTCCCACATGAAATCGCTTCTTTCTTTTCCTCCTGATCGAGTTGACAACTCCTAGGATGTAGTCAACAGTTTCCTTATTTTCCACTAGCAATATTGCACTTAGCTATTGGATCTTTTTTTCGCTGACCTTCTGCTTTAGCATGTTGATTAATAGTAAAATTTATTGAGTTTTTTTTTATTTGATTGAAAGTTGGGGAAATCTCCTTTGCATTTTAAGATTAAAATTGGCTAAAATATATTGAGGTTGCATTTTTTTTAATGATAATATACTGAACTATCCTTTTTCATCAGACCCTTACAAAGTTGCGCTTTTCAAGGAATGGACTCACAGATGCAGAAAAGGATGCTTTTAAGGTAAATCTGAGGTCATGGTTAATTGTTTTTTTTTTAAATTCGGAATAACATTTATTGATATCGTTCATTGCAGAGGCTTTTGGAAGAAGATAATTTTTATACAATAAGAGTGCCTTCTAACGTGCTGAATCCTCCTGGAAAAGGCTATATTTTGTCATCTGTGCCGGCTGTAAGTTCATTAATCTTTTGTTTTATTTTATTAATATGTATGTTCAAAACAACCATAAGGATTTGTCATACAAATTCTGATCAAACTTTTTTTTCGTGAAAATAATGGCTTTAAATTTCTTATCCATGTGCTATGGATGCCTTTTTAATCATAGCCAGTAATATGGTCACAATTTTGGTGATGGAAACTCTTGGAGTTCTCTGTTTGATATAATAAGGTGAAAAAGGATAATTATTATATGTTTTTGAAGAGATTCCACAGCCTTAGAAACTAAAGGAGTTATAAGTTTTTCACTTTTTCTGTAACTTTTAATATTAAGAACTTTATGGTAGTCAGGAACTTAATGTTTCGAAGGACACGGGGACTTCAGATCATTGGTTTCCCCGTTAATTGCTTTTTATTGGGATGGCGGAGGAACCCTAGGCTCTTCTTTATTTACTTATTCAAGTAGCTGCATCAGTTATGTAATTTATTTTGTCCATTAATGTTTTGTATAGCATGCCATTTAAATACTTCTAATACACAATGGAGAAAAATAATTTATGTAGCCGACCCCATGTAGTGGGATAAAGGTTTGATGTTGTTGCTGTTGTATGTTATGTATGAAAATCATTTTTAATGCATGTAGCATGCTATTTAAATAAAGAATAATTTGTTTGTATATTTTATTTAAGCAGAAATGGCCTTACTAAGTATGAAAATCATTGTATATTTCATTTTAGCAGAAGTGGCCTTACTCATTATGAAATCAACTTATTCTTTATTTGATTAAAATGGTTTTCATATTCTCCGTAAGGAGTTTACAACTGGGTGCTCAGGCTTGAGGTAGTTGATCGTTAACATAAGAGACCCGCTCAAAACATTTTCTACTAAAAAAATTTTGATTAGTCATTTTGATTTTAAATCTGGAACTTTTGATATTTCTTTGTTAATTTTTCTTGTTGATATGATTTATATAGATTATAGAGGGAAAGTGCTGATTGCTGGAAATATATTTATCGATTCCATCCTTATTGGTCATCATGACTGGATCATTCAATATTTTGCTGACTTTTTTTTTTCCAGAGGTGTATTCCTAGGGAAAGCTTGGATGAACACTTCGTGATCCATACGGTACTTCCTGAAACTTATCCAGATAACTGCTTTGTTCCCCAAGTTTTCTTTCACCAGCTAGAGCCTGTTTATTCCTAAGCTAAATAATAAGGCATAAACAATTTTACTTTTTCTGTTTCTGTTTCGGTTTTCAACAGTTTCCTGTTTTTGTATTTGTTTTAAATATATTTGGGAAGATGTCTCTTGGCTAAGGGAGGTTATAGTAATACTCCAATACTAAGTTTAGAAAAAAAAAGCTTAATTGTTTTGCAAAGTTTATCTTTTGAGTATGCCTACTCTTGGAGATCCAAAGCCAAACAAATTCAATAAGTTATCTCTGCTTTTTTGCTTAGCAGATATTCAAGAGATTTTTTTATTATACGAGGCCTTTTTATTTTACCTGATTTATGATGTTTAATCAACTCATACCTCCTATAAGCCATGCAATGGTTTTTAATGTTGGCCATTAATGCCTGCTTAGATTGTTTTCTGATTATTTGTTTTCCAATTATGCGTTTAGGGTTTATATTGGACATTTAAGTTTGTGGTTTGCTGGAATGAATGGGATTATTATTGTTGAACATAAAATTGAAGTTCTTCTAGAGATGAGTAGGCTTGGTGACTAACACAAGGAAAGGCCCGGTGGCCAACACAAATAAGATGAGATTAGGTGGTGTTCTTCAACACACTTCTTTGATGAGTGGTATTTTATACTTTTATTTACTTTTTCCTTTATTTTTTGTTGTGAAAATCTTGATCTACCACCCCTCCATAAAATTTAATAATTTTACAACAAAAAGCCCTTATCGAAATTCACCTTGTATTGATTGGCCAACCCTCGATCAAATAGGATGTAGTTTGGTTCCACAAGCCGTTAGTCCATCAGAACTCGAAAAATTGAGATTAACTTTAGATCTAATCTAGACACTTCTCTTTACCAATTAATGAGTTTTTTCAAATCTTTCCATAACCCGTCATCTTGTTTGCGTGCATGCTATGATAACTCTTTCCAACCTAGTGATCCTAAAAAATCATGGTTAGCCAGGAGAATCTTAAGTTTAATCTTGGTGCACTCTATTTAGCTGTGATATTCATAGTCTGCACGAGTTTTGGCATATTGTGCATTTTCATTAACCATCATTTTAATTTTATGAGTTGCACAATGTTTTTCATCGTAAAGGATTTGAGTAATTTAATTTACCTCTATATTTGTGTCAATTATCACAATTAAATCACATTATACTTTGCCCAATTTATTGACACTACTTCAGACATAACTTAATTTTTATTGAAATTGCATGATTTTGGTCTAATTAGAAAGATAATAAAATCCTCTACAATTTTATGTTTTTTATTTTGGTTAACATTGAGAAGATAAATTATAATTTTTACAAAAAAATCAAGAAACAAAAATCAGAGGTGGAAAAATTGACCTTTATGCCGTTGTTTTGGGTAGAATCAGTTATTTCTTGCTAGAATTGCATTATTTTTGTGTCTTTGAAAATCTAGCAAAATTCTTTACAACTTTTATGTTTTCTATTTCGACCAATTTTGGCATGATATATTGCAGTGTCATGTGAATCGAGAAACAAACATTTAAATTTAGAAATTTCAAATATATTTTACTTAAATCCAGAAACTATTTTGGTCATAACTTTCTCATATTTTATTGGAATTGCATGATTTTGGTGTCCGCTTCAGCTGATTTTGACATAAGAAGTTGCAGTTTTTGGAATCGAGATACAAAATTCAATTTTAGAAATTCCAAATTTATTTCACCATTTTAAGCATAGCGTTCCGTTTCTTGTTAGAATCATATGATTTTGGCGCGTTGAAAAGCTCAAAATTATCTACAACTTTTATGTTTTCTCATTTGGTGGATTCTGACACGGAAAATTACTGTTTTATGTAAACCGATAATGGACTAAAAATGAACTTAAAATGATCATTCGAGTCAACATTATCGATTTAAATCAATTTAAATAAAAGTTCTTTTATCTAATTAAAAAATAAAACTGATCCATCCTAATTCCAAGGATTTAATCATGCCACTTAAACCTAATGGAGCCCACAGTTAAAAAATTTAAGGCTTAGTCAACCCCTCTTCATTTAATGGTCAAGACAAGCTTAAATTTTCACCAATGTTGAAATCATTTTTAAGATAAGATATTGAATGGATCATTGCTCCATAATAGCTAGCCACTGGCACACACTCTAAGGCTTGTCATTACCTTTCTTAGCCTGTAAACCGAGAAAAGAATGGGGAGAGAATGTGCACCATACACTTTCATCCTTGGATTTAATTCTTAAAACCTTTATCCTCGGCCTTCTACAGACCTTAAGAGAAGAAAACTGTTTGAGTGACCTTCCTGTGCTTGTTGACGTGCAAGAAAACTAATAATGTAGAGCTTGTTTTTCAGAAAAATAATTGCATTTTGGACGTGAGCTCTCTAGACTATGCTGTGTGCTTGTGCGGCCTCTCAAATGCCCTTCCATTTTAATTCACCATCCTCCCTTTACATAGATAGCTTGTTCATTAAAAAAAAAATTGGAAAGGGCGGCTTCTTATTCAGCCACTGGCGTCGGTGCCATCTCCAGCGCCGGCAAGCTCCCTGAGCAGCAACTAAACCACCTGCTGAATGTACCCAACCAAGTGCCACCCCTCATGCATGCTAAAATGGCGAAGAGCAGTTGTGCATGGCCTTATTTTTAGCTATAGTAGCATGAGATAGGAGACGGAGCAGTGACCATTGCATTCCAATATGAAAATGTGATGGTATAATTTTATTCGCATCATATACTGTCTGACAAATTTTCACAAGGATAACATGCAACAAGCGTGGCCCGTCCGCAATCTGCCAACAAGATTTTAAAGAAGGGCTTAAAACAATTTAGAAAATAAATAAAAATTAGAAATTTAT